AGGTAGGGGGTGGGTAGGTAACCAGGAGTTCGATTCCCGGCTCTTTTCGTTGTATTATATCCTAAAAGTGAATCAAAAGTGAAATTAGACCACAAATTTGACGTTTATACGTATTTTAACGTATATTAGTTTTCGAAGCTTCGAATGCCTCAATGAAGCATCAAAATGATTCAATGAACCTTCGTGACGTCACTCTGAACCTTCGTATAAAATGGCTCGACTAACCCGCCCCTACCTCTTTCTTCACCGACCACTCACCACTCACCAGCTGCAGCTGACAGGCAGGTAAGCTCTCACACCCCCACAACTCTAGTCTCCATTATATACGTGTAAATATTTTCCCCGATCGTGTGTATGCAAAGTGGCCAGATAACTCGGATATTCTTTAGGATAGTGTTTAATATAGTTAATTAAGGCGTAATAAAAGCTGATTTAAGTAAGAAAAGTTGCCGGCCGGTTGTTGGAGCAATTCACTTGCCTCATTGGGTCGTACCCACCCCAAAGTTTCACTGGGCTGTAAGGCCTATGGTACCTACTTTGCAGCTTAAACTAATACATTAAGATGGTTTAGTATTATATTAAGCGTTTCTCTAACTTCTAACCAGTAATTTTTAATGTTTTAGGCAAATATACCGCCAAATGAGTCATGACAAACGAGCCTGAACTATAAGCCGGAAGGTAACGAGCGTAAATCATACATCCGTATTCACGTAATAATTAACCAGTAAGTGAGTACAATGACCAGATTGCGTTAGATTACTGTATTTATTTTATTTCACATTTCCCTCTGCTTCGAAGCTCGACCCACTTATGACGGAGCCGGGTGGTCATAACTCAATAACTACGCATTTCCCAAAACGTTCATCACCACTACTGTACTCTGCATTTAAAACTGCGCCATAATGACTCGGTTTAACAAAAATATGTAACTATTTTTTTTGCGGAATTGACATATTTTACTGGCTAGTTCTTTGCTTACTCTTTAACTACGATTTCTGGGAGTTGAAACAGAATTTATTACGGGTTTTAGCCGGGCGGGGCGACGCGAGGTAAGGTAGGGAGCCGGGCGGGGCCGGGCAAGGCAAGGTGAGGGGAGCCGGGCAGGGCCGGGATGGAGTGAGGGAGCCAGGCAGGGCTGAGGTAAGGTGGGGAACCGGGCCAGAACTGAGGTTAAGGTAGGGAGCCGGGCAGGGCGAGTTGGAGTAGGGAGCCAGGCGGGGCAGGTTAAGGTGAGGAGCCGGGCAGGGCGGGGATTAAGGTAGAGGGAGCCAGGCAGGGGCGGGTTAAGGTGGGAGCCGGGCGGGGCGGAGTTAAGGTGAGGGAGCCGGGCAGGGCGGGGATTAAGGTGGGGGAGCCAGCACAGGCGGGGCGAGGTAAGGTGGGGAGCCGGACAGGGGCGGGAGGTAGGAGTGAGAGGAGCCAGACTGAGGGCAGGAGCAAGGAGTGAACCGGGCGGAGACTGAGGCGGGGAGTAGGGAGCAGACCAGGGGCGAGGTGGGGGGCAGGGTGAGGTGTGGTGAGGTGGGGCAGGGCAGAAGCGGGGCGGAGCGGGAAGCGGGCAGGGCGGGCAGGAGCAGGGCCAGGGCAGGGGGGGGGGGGGTGGGAGCAGGGTGTGGGGTGGGTGTGGGGAGCGAGGCAGGCGAGGCGAGGTAAGGTAAGGTAGGGAGCCGGGCGGGGCGAGGTAAGGGAGCCGGGCGGGGCGAGGTAAGGGAGCCGGGCGGGGCGAGGTAGAGGGCAGGGCAGGGCGAGGTAAGTAGCCGGGCAAGGAGCAGGGTAGGGCAAGGGGCGAGGTCAGGTCAGGGAGGCTGGGCGCCGGGCGAGGCTAGGCTGGGCGCCGGGCGAGGCTAGGCTGGGCGCCCGGTGAGGAGAGACGAGACGTTTCAGTAGGTCGAGGTTGACGTGTTTCAGAAGACAGTATATATTAAATTCAGTAACATCAACGGTTCCTGGTAATTTTTAAGTGGACAACCATGGATTTTACCACCGGAAAAACACATTGCTCAACAACCAAAACTAACCAAACACCGTAGAGTAACCTAACACCGTAACGTAATCTAACCTAGAGGTTCGTTGGTTGTCTACTTGTAAAACAAAAAAAACAAATTACACCGGGTTCCTAAAATAAATGTTGAGATCTATATATAGACACCGTTAAAATGTATTGGTAAATAAGGCAGCAACCATCTAATTAACCTCTGGAAAATGTTAATGTTTGGCTCGCCTGAAGATTCATCCCCCAGCTTATTTAACCTGAAGATCAATTTAACCTTTGCCAATCTACGTATTACAATGTGCTGGTGATTTTTTTTTCCAGATCAAGGAATGACTACAGATCTAACTACAGTACAAAGCCCTCTGTTATTGATGTGGTCCAGTATGTGGTCATCAGTGTGGTGCAGTATGTGGGGACAACAGACTACGAGTGAGAAGTGAAGCTTCTCACACTACATAAAAGTATTCCTTGAGGTAAATTTGAACGTTTTGTGTGAAGGTGTGAGTGGGTGTAGCCTGCTATGGTGTCATTTAATGTTTTGTGAGGGGGTGTGGGTGGGTGTAGCTTGTTGTGATGTCATTTAACATTTTGTGTGAGTGTGGGGTGTTGTGTATAGGATAGGTTGTTCCCATATGAAGGAATTGTACATGGGGTGAGCAGGTGGTTGTGGTGACGTTTGTCATTCAAACCAAGTGTAACCAAGCTGTCGAGGGGGACACTTAAGGGGGCTTGAGGGAGGGAAGGTCTAGTAAACCTTGTGTATAGTGCGTGAAGCAGTGTAGAGACGTGTAGTACAGTATAGTGTAGCATTACTGTATTGGTGAGAAGGAATTGAGTAAACTAATGTGGAGGTAATGATATATGTAAACAGTTGGGGACAGTTTTAAGTACAAGTGGTCTAGTGGTAGATGGAAGTTGCAACTTTAATTTTCATTCTACATAAATAACCACTTTAAACATGTTGCAGGTGACAGCTGATGTACGTGAAGGCCAACGGAGAAGTGACAGAACCTTGAGCAAGATTTAACACCCAGCATGTTACTTCAGCCTCATCAGTTAAGTTAATTGTATATCTTAGCTAGTATGGTCAGCCCATAAACCACTCAACACTGCTCCTACACTGGGCAGTGGAGTGTGTGTGTGGGGCTGACTGTTTGGGGCCTAATAGGTCTGTGTGTCAGGTCTGGCGGTCTGTGTATGAGGTCTGGCAGACACGGTTGTCGTTTTGGAGGGCTGTGTGTGTGTGTGTGTGTGTGGGAGGGCTGTGTGTGTGTGTGTTGGAGGGCTGTGTGTGTGTGTGTGTGTGTTGAGAGGCTGTGCTTGTGTGTGTTGGAGGCTGTGTGTGTGTGTGTGTGTGTGTGTGTGTGTGTTGGAGGCTGTGTGTGTGTGTGTGTTGGAGGGCTGTGTGTGTGTTTGGAGGCTGTGTGTGTGTGTGTGTGTGTGTGTTTTGGAGGGATGTGTGTGTGTTGGAGGGTGTGTGTGTTGGACAGGGGGGTGTGTGTGTGTGTTGGAGGCTGTGTGCGTGTGTGTTTGTTGAAGGGCTGTGTGTGTGTGTGTTTTGGAGGGCTGTGTGTATATGTGTGTTGGACAGGGGGGTGTGTGTGTGTGTGTTGGACAGGGGGTGTGTGTGTGTGTGTTGGACAGGTGTGTGTGCGTGTGTGTGTTGGAAGGGTATGTGTGTGTGTGTGTTTGTTTTGTTTGGAGGCTGTGTGTATGTGTGTGTGTTGGGGCTGTGTGTGTGTGTGTGTTGGAGGACTGTGTGTGTGTGGAGGCTCTGGGACTGTGTGTGTTGGAGGGCTCTGGGAGGATATGTGTGTGTGTGTTGGAGGGAGCTCTGGAGGACTGTGTGTGTGTTGGAGGGCTCTGGAGGGACTGTGTGTGTGTGGAGGGCTCTGGAGGACTGTATGTGTGTTGGAGGGCTCTGGAGGACTGTGTGTTGGAGGCTCAGTATTATTGCAGTTTCGGCCAGTACACACCTGACTTTTAAGCCCATCCCAACCTTCAGATCTCCTTATTGAAATATTTCTAACACCATTTCAGCAAGGGAGCAAAAGAATGTCAGAATGAGGATTAAAGATTTCCATGCTTTTTTTTTTTGGGGGGGGGGGGGATATAATTCTAAAGAGGGTTCTTTCCCCTGGAAATAAAGGTCAAATTCCATTAAATCGACCCAAAATACACAGGATAAACTAATTTCTAAAATACGAGGGCATATTGGACGAAACTGCAATTTCACAAAGGGCTCTGGAGAACTGTGTGGACTGTCTAGATAGACTGAGCTGGGAGTCAAATTAAGATTAGCTGTAGAGATTTGGGAAAGCTTAATAAAGTGCTATAAAAATGTACAGGACTAAATGCCAATTAGTTACAGTATTAGTGAGCATTAGTAGTAGTAAAGTGATTAATAGTAAGTAAAGCTGGTTGTTTGTAGGTGGGTTTTAACTAACAACTTAACTAACCTAATCAGCCTAACTTAGATTAAATGTAACTAATCTAGACTGACCCAAATTAATATTGTTACCTATTATATAGGTTCATATATTGGATAACAAATATATTAAAGAACGTAACTTAAAATTTGCCACTAGTTAACTGATCATGAATTCAGAAAGTTAAGCTAGAAAAAATTTCACTTGTTTAAATTATTAAAAATCAATAGCTTGCATACTTTGCAGTTTCCATTTCAAAATCTAATCGTGCACTGTACTGACTTTCTCCTCAGGTTAAGCTGGCCAGAAGTAACATCATACTGAACCTAAGGAGAAGCGACTTAAAATGCCAGAACAGGTAAAGTCGACTTACTGAGTTTTATTTAGGCAAGGGAAGCTTGTGGGACTTGTGAAATATTTAAACATTGTGTGGGTGTGGCTTGTTGTAATTAGGGTGGGGGTAGGGGGACTATATGGCTTGTGTATTGGCATATGGGGTGAGCAGGTGTATACTATAAGTTGGGTGTGTTGGTAAAGTTTTTCATTCAAGCTAAATGTGACCAAGTTGTCAAGGGGAACACCTAAGGGGGCTTGAGGGGTGGGAGGAAGGAAGGGAGGGTTCAGTAAGTGAACTGTGGTAAACTGTGTTGTGTATGAAGCAGTGTGGAGAGATTTAGTAGTGTAGCAGTATTGGTGATGAAGGCTTGTTATGATTGGCTATACTATTGTTGTGGTAAATGTTAGTTGTTGAGGTATTAAGAAAACTAAAAAACTAATGCAACTTAAAATAAGGTCTTTTGTAGATAAGGTATTTAAGTAAACAATTGGGGACGGTATAAGTACATGTAGTCTGGTGGTAGATGGAAATTGTATGTTTAATCTTCATTGTACATAAATTACAACTTTAAATATGTTACAGGTAACAGCTGATGTACGTGAATGCCAATGTAGAGGAAGTGACGGACACCTTGAGCAAGATGTAACGCCCAGCATGTTACTTGAGCCTCCTCAGGTAAGTTACTTATGGATCTTAGTATGGCCATCCCAAAGAACTACTGGAAGTAAGACTCAAGAGGAGGGACTTATTTTGTGTGAAGGGTTGGAAAGGAGGAGCATTGGGCGGTGGAGGGGCACTCGTACCGTGGGGGGGGGCGCGCTCGTACCGTGGGGGGGGCGCGCTCGTACCGTGGGGGGGGCGCGCTCGTACAGTGTGGGGGCGCTCGTACAGTGGGGGAACGCTCGTACAGTGGAGGGGAGCTCCTGCATGGCTGGTGGTGTGTTCAAGCAATGGTGAATGGAGTGCATGTTAAAAATGTGATGCAAAAAATAGCATGTACTGTGAAGGCATGTGGGGGGGATGATGCCTATGAAAAGGCTGCTGCAGCCAAAAGTTAGGAAGGACAAAGCTCATGTGTAAGGTTATACAGGAGGGAGTTTGAGTGTATGGATATATCACATATATATAAGAATGCAAGTTTAGATTCCAAAAAATTCTGGAGTAAATGTTGTGTATTGGTAGAAATAATTGGTAGTAATGCATTAAGATTGATCTAAATACAAATAATCATGTTGCAGGTGGTTGGTGTACAAGATAGATGTACCAGACAACAACCAGGCAGCAAGGTGACCACTACTGTCCAGCGTCCCACACCTTGAGGACTACCACCTTACTAAGAAAGAACAGAATTGGTGTTCTGTACACTACTGTAAGAACAGTGTAATGTGAATGTTAAGTATTACTGAAACCTTTTTTATATAATTTAGCAAAATTTGATATATTATTTAAAATAGTGCATTTAAGAACACACAGTACAAGTTAACCTCAATATTGTGGAGTGGTAGTGATATAAAATAGCTTAATTAATTCAGATGTAGAGTATCTAAATACAAATAATCATGTTGCAGGTGGTTGGTGTACAAGATAGATGGACCAGACACAACCAGGCAGCAAGGTGACCACTACTGTCCAGCGTCCCACACCTTGATGACTACCACCTTACTAAGAAAGAACAGAATTGGTGTTCTGTACACTACTGTAAGAACAGTGTAATGTGAAAGTTAAGTATTACTGAAACCTTTTTTTATATAATTTAGCAAAACTTGATATATTACTAAAAATAGTGCATTTAAGAATATACAGTACAAGTTAACCTCAATATGGTGTATTGGTAGTGATATAAAATAGCTTAATTAATTCAGATGTAGAATATCTAAATACAAATAATCATGTTGCAGGTGGTTGGTGTACAAGATAGATGAACCAGACAAAACAGCAAGGTGACCACTACTGTCCAGCATCCCACACCTTGAGGACTACCACCTTACTAAGAACAGAATTGGTGTTCTGTTCACTACTGTAAGAACAGTGTAATGTAAAAGTTAAGTATTACTGAAACCTTTTTTTATATAATTTAGCAAAACTTGATATTACTAAAAATAGTGCATTTAAGAATATACAGTACAAGTTAACCTCAATATGGTGTATTGGTAGTGATATAAAATAGCTTAATTAATTCAGATGTAGAGTATCTAAATACATATAATCATGTTGCAGGAAGTTGGTGTGGAAGATAGATGAACCAGACATGACAAGGTGACCACTACTGTCCAGCGTCCCACACCTTGATGACTACCACCTTACTAAGAACAGAATTGGTGTTCTGTTCACTATAAGAATAGTGTAATGTGAAAGTTAAGTATTACCGAAATATTTTTAGGATTTAGCAAAACTTGAGAAATTATTTAAAGTACTAATGCATTCAAGACTGTATGAGTGAACCTCGATTAATGCCACACAAAGTATTAAAAATAGCAAGATACATTATGTACAGTAGCATCATTAACTATCATGGTAGCCACAGTTTTGCTGTGATTGCCAAAAATTTCCATTTTATAATATATTTTTCGTCCACAGGTGAAGTATCAGCAAGGTATACAACAAGATACACGGACATCAGTCAAACGGATTGCGAGAGGTTTGAATATCTCCCATGGATCCATTTGTTAGTGGTTTGTAATATTAAGTGTAATATGTAATTGTTGTTCAGTGTACCGGGGGAGGCGTTTGTACCAGGGGAGGCGTTTGTACCGGGGGAGGCGTTTGTACCGGGGGGGGCGTTTGTACCGGGGGAGGCGTTTGTACCGGGGGAGGCATTTGTAGTGGTAGAGGCACTTGCACTGGGAGGTGTTTATAAATGGTTTGCACTCCTACGATATCTGTGTATAATAAAATAAATAAATATTGAATAAACTTTACGTTTCATATTCCGAAGTTGAATGATAATGATCTTCTAAATAAACCACAAGTACAGTAGAACTGTAAACTATACCTGAAACATGAACTAAAGTGATCAACTTGGATACACCCACATGATGGCTTCTGGGTAACTTAATGTATATATCATGTCCTATGTATAATTATCACCAACTGACATCAAAGTGACTTTCATTGTATAACTGTTACAAACTAATGCCCATGTGATGCCCAATTGGGTACATGTAATCAAAACTACTAGATACCCACAGATGGCACAAAAAATGCATCCGAGATACAGATGCCTCGGACGCAGGATTTTGATAACCTTACAGAGAGAACGGGCGTCTAGTGTTCATTTTGAAATTCGTCGGCCATGACCATAAAGAACATTTTTGATTGCATACATATTATTAATTTGAAAGTACAGGTATTGTCCATATACAGTAAATGAAAGTAAAGTACAGTAAGAATTTTACTTACTAAATGTTGACAATCTGGACACTGCACAACAATTGCTGAATGGAAGTGTTTTACCTGAAAATAAAAACAAAAATCTTGTAAAATTGTAATAAACAACTTATGGACCCACCCTCCCCCCTAAAGATTTGGTCACTTGGATAAATTTAGAAATATATCTACTGTACCTGGCCAAAATTATTCACAAAGTACAAGACTTCCATTATTATCTAAAGCTAAATTTTGTGTAGGACCAAAACCTGACAAAAGATACTTTATAAAACCTTAAGGTCTAGTGAAATATACGCACCTTATGTGGAGTCTGCAATACAGATGTTTGAGAAATCCACAACAGCTGATAATGTGACGGCCCCACCATCACTGATGTATCTGCAGAGAAATAATAATGGTACTGTAATGTGATTATTTCTCAGGACATGGGAGAAAGATATCTGGTGATGTTGCCAATCATTCCAAGTTTTTTCTGTGCTAATATTTGGTAATGTAGGTGTAAGAGAACATAAGACTGCAGGAATGGCCAGTAAATTAATATATACTGTACCTAGACAATGCAGGTATAAAATGAGGCTATATGACCAAGGATATTTTGCATTTCTGTATCAACTTCTGGACTGTTATTGTATACATATGAAAATAAAAAATATACTGTATATTCAATTCTTTATTTTTTATTACCTATCTACAAAGATATAAAATCATAGTACACAATGTACAGTACATATGTAATTTCTTTTTTCTCTGTTGCTGACAGAAGATATTACCTTTTTTCAGAAGAATTTATATTGTAAGTGTTTGTTAGATGGCAATGGTAGATACAACACTGCAGTAGCCCTCCTCCTTTATCCGGGCTTGGGACCGGCATGTTCGGCTGAACAAGGCGGAGTTACTACTGTGCATTCTACGTCTAACTACGGTGCTGTTAGTACTATCAACTATAACAAAATAAATTTTACCTTTATTACCTCCAAGAAGCACCTTGTAGGTCCACAGTCAGCCACGCCTTCACTTCAGTCAGACGTTCACCTCGGAGGCACACAATCTGAAAGAAATGAGAAAACCTTAGTCCCATCCACACACATTAAAGGTGTGAGAGAGGGTGAGTGTATGGATGGGAGTGAGGGTGTGTATGGGAGGGCCTCCCCCACACACCCTCACTCCCATCCATACACTCACCCTCTCTCACACCTTTCCTTATACCCAACACTCCCTCCCAAACACCCCAACCCTCCCTCCCACCCCACCTCCCTCCCATCGCACCTCTTCTCCCACCCAACCCCCCTCCTACACCACCTCCCCTCCAACCCAACTCACATACCTACCCATCCCAACTCCCTTCCCATCCACCCAACCTTTTGGGTGTGTGGATGGAGGAGGTTTGTCGATGGAGGTAGTGTTTGTGGATGGGAAGATGTGGAGAGAAGATGTGGATGGGGAGAAGAGTGTGTGGATGGGGAGAAGAGGAGTGGTTGGGAGGAAGTGTGTGTGGTTGGGAAGAAGGGTGTGGTGTGCCATGCCCTCCTCCATGCAAACACAGCATCGAAAAATATTCTGAAGAAAATTGGTTTGTATTGCTGTAATATTGTATTGTGAGGACTCATTTGTGTTTGAACATGAATGATAAGTGTGCAGGGATTATGGTGTTGTAAGAGAGAGAGAGACTTATAATAGTTGTGAGGACATTTTGGACAAGGTAAGAGACTTGCTGTGTGTGGGGGTTTGGTCTGGTGGCAGGAGCAACAGGTAGGCAGGGGTTATATGACTATTTTATCCTCAGTTATATATCATATTATTGTATATGAGTTATGTGAATAATTATTATTCAATATATTTATGAATGATTTTACTGTATAAATTTGTTTCAATTTACTAATATTACCAATATAACTTAAATAACTAAGAAATTATAAATATAATGTAATATCTTGAAGGTTCTAAAATAAAACAAAGATCTTGTGGCCACAGAAAATACTACATATTATTTTACTGATAACTTTAAACTATTGTAACAAAATCGACCAAGTAGAGATAGGAACATGTAAAATTAATGATTAGGAAGATAAAACATGATTAAATTATAAATCAATTTATTAAGAAAACCAACAGCTCAATGTTTAACGGTTATGATACAGTTTAGGTATCAGGTATAGACTAAAAAATGTTTATCTCATTTAACCTAACCCAAGCTAACCTAACCCAATCCAGCCTACATCATTATATGTCCATAAGAGAAGTGGGACATCTTGGAGTATCAGAAGATAATTAAGGGAGATAATGATTAAGCATTTAACATTTAAGTTATTATGTAATGACAAGTGTAATAATGCCCACAGCCATCCTGTCCACAATCCCATTAAAATCGTAGTAAAATCATACACAATCTCCACACCTAATGGTCAAATACCCTTTGGATATTTGCCCAGCCAGCACAGTCAAATAACACCTTCATAACTTGTACTGAGCCATTATTGGGTAGTGGTGGTGGAGTCCCTTAGTACCAGAGTACTGTGTTTATATTTGATTCATATTATCCACAGTTGTTCTGTGGATGATGTAGTATTAATGGTAAAATTTCACTTGTTACCACCAAGCATTTGGAAGTTGAAATTATGCTTGATGGATGTAAAATGTTATATAGATTTGATTCTATTCTTTGCAATTTTTTGGTATAAATTTATAATTAAAAAGTTTTGATTTTAGGGGAAAATTTGACATTTCCTACGAACTTATAGGACAAGCGTGTACAGTGTATGTCATAAATTTGTATTAGTATATATGTATACCGTACTGAATGCACCAGTATAGAATATATAACCTAACCTAATCAAACCTAAACTAACCCATGGACTATACCAAGATCTGATTGGTTAACAAACCAGCTACTAAAATGTAAAATATCTCACTTATACAGTACTTAATTTGTGACAGAAATGCCATATTAGAAAAGTGTTTTAGAATGATCAAAACTACTGATTGTAACCATAAAATTATCAAAAAATTTGGGTGGCAACAAATGACATAATATCATATTAACTAATAAAAATTAACACAACTTTTTATTTTAATTATAAGTACCAGTTTTTCTTTTATCTCTTCTCTATGAACATAAATCACCTGTAATGGGCAGGGCATGAAAGATGACGGAGAGTATGGGGTAAAGCACAGTGAAGAACTGATTACGTGACACTAAAATGATGTCTCCACGTGCTTTGACACAGAGAAATTAACTATTTACAGTAAACAATCTACCAAAATATATGACGTGGCAGCCTGTGTTGTCGTCCGCTCTTAAACCAATAAACACTGAATTCGGTAATACTATACTTAGCTTGTCAATAAATGACAGAGCCTCATATTGGGGGTTTTATTACCATACATATAAAATTATTATCTTTTTTCTTATAGGCTTTACTATCCCGATTCATGAGTCCATTATCTCCACAAATCCCTTATTTATTTTTGGTTTGGTTAAGTAGGATCTTAAACCTATTCTATGCACATTTATAAATTATGAAAATTATAGTGTTGGAATCAAATCCCATAATATGAGTTTAAATACATTTCCAATTTCTTTTGAGTAGTATTGGTTAATGAGTGATACTTATGTTCTTATATTGTATTTTATTTCCCCTCCCTAGTTATGACTTCTTCTTGGTGTTGCTGTTTATCAAATCGTAAATTATCTGCAAGACCCATTGTCAGATTTATAGCCGAGTGGGGGGACCTGTTCAACGACCAAGAGGGCCAAGATTATTTATTAACGTCTCTGCCATATATGACATTATTAGTTGTAATGTCTATAATGAAACCATTTGGAAATAAAACCAATTATACAAGAGAACACTAACTTTATTTATGAGAACTAATGAGTCAGCTCACAACATTTTATGTATACTGTATATGAACTCATACATTATTAAACTAGACACACATATATGTAATGATAGTTTAAGTATATAACATAGACAGGAAAGAATTACATAATCTGAAGTACAGCAACGAACTACTGAATGTAAATTAATTTTTCTCAAATAACCAACAAGATAATAATGAAAACTGATTATGTTTATAAAAAAATTGACAACAGAGAAATAATGAGAAAATAGTCCTTCCATTAATAACGTCTATATACACAGTACTGTACTCGTTATGTGATATTGATAATTAACTCAATACAATTTAATTTTCCTGCTTTTCCTCCAAGTTCAATTTCTGTGTAAGGTCTGCCCAAAATACAGTCAAGACCAGGTTACTTTTTCTACGATGAGTCATTGAACGCCTATATGGTGTAAGCACGTGACAGTTGAGAAGGAGTGTTCACATATTGCAGTGCTTGTACCAAATGTGAGGGCAGCTGCATAAAGCTTGTGTATGTGAGTTAGTCCATTTCAGAAAGGATATGATATCTTGAAATTTTCACCAATGTTTTTGAGAACTGGGCAATAAAATTCTTTGATAAGTCACTTAGCAACATGACATTCACTTACCAGATGAGACGACTCAGTGTCGACACCTATGAGTTTAGCCTATGGGACAAGATTTTCCGGAAGTAATAAACAATTCTTGGATTCTGGCCAACGACTAGAAATGACTGTAAGTAGTCTAATATTATGCTCACCAAACCCAGCATTGAGTTCACCAAGGCAGTTATCTAAAATATAGTAGTACAGTTGATGATGTAAATTAGCTTCACTATGAAAACCATGAACATTAGAATGTCTTACAGTTGTTTCAGTCACTGTTAAGTATTGGAGCATTTTGTGTTTATGCCAACAGATCCAAAGGCAGTCCTGGTGGATCAAGTTTCCAATCTAGATCATTGGAACAATTCATTGGTTGGGGTATCCGCCCTATGGCAGTTCCCAGGAATATAAAAACATTTTCACTCTCCAAAATTTGGTACAGCATATTAAGATAGAATATATTCAAAACTTAGGAAATGACTTTGTTGATAAAAGTCTTGTTTCCATATGAATTCAAAGACCATCAGTTATTTACAAATGTGATCATGAGCAAGCAGCCATGCATCAGCCAACACAGTCCCACCAATACTGGAGTCTCGGGTACAGCAGACAGTGTTTTAGAGAAGAAACAACAACATCTACTTATAGAAAACCTCTACAAGTAGATGGTGCCTGTACTGTATAGATAGAGATAACACCAGAGAGAGAAATAAGGAAGGTTTACATCTGTATTCCTTTACTTTGCTGGAGACAAACTGGGTCATGATAAAAAGGGAAGTGGCTACTTAACCAGGAGTTCCTGGCTGGTCACACTAGAGGTTATGTGAGAGGGTTATGCCTCCCAGTCACTGCTGACTTCTTAGAAGTGCCACACAGCCCTCAGCCTCTCTCACCTTCGGTTACTGGGGACAGGCTGAACAACTGAGCAACGATTAATGTCATCAATGACGGCCCCGTTAAGGTATGGGGAGCTATTTCCCATGCCAAAGTATAACATATGAACAAGAATGACATTAAAGAACTCAAAGAAGAAGAAATAGACGTGCAGAGAAAAATTAAGAGACCCGACAGAAAATCCACCTCGGTTCTAGTTGGATTTTTCCACAAACTTCCAGAGACAGTCACACTGGGATGGGACACCGTCTGAGTGAGATCTTACGTGCCATGACAGACCAGATGCTTGAAGTGTCAGCGGTACAGTCACCCACCCAAAAAATGCAAGGCCCCAGAAGATGTGTGCTACAGATGTGTGTCTTCTGGACACCAGCATGATGACTGTAAGATCAAGAACAAGAAATGCACTGCCTGTGGTGGTCCTCACTAATCCTCTGACCAGGAGGGTCCCAAATGGAGGGAAGAGTGAAGGTGAAGCACACCAAGAACCTCTCCTACAAGGATGTACTCCTCTTGTGAAGGAAATTAGGCAACAAAGAACACCCAGAACCTGAAAACCTTCAAGAACAAGAAGGAACAGGTCAAGGAGAACCATAAGATAACTCAGAGCAAGAAACACAAGATGAAGCAGAAAATAAAAAGCAAGATCAAGAAAATGAGGAAGAAAAAGGATGGAAAGACATTAAAAAGAAGAAAAACAAAAGGAAGAGGCTACAGTAAACCCACGACTTACGACGGGGTTAGGGACCCAAATCCAGGTCGTAAGTTGAAATGGTTGTAAGTCAAAAATGCTTAAATATACAAAGAAAATCTAAAATGGGTGACTTTTTCTTCTCAGCACCACAAAACTCTCACTTTTAAGCTTGCCAGCCATTTTAAAGTGAATTACAAATGAAAATTTTGTCAGTACACAGGGCAATCACTGACATTGGGACTCGAAAATACGTAATTTGAAAAAATTTTGGAACGACCGAGGAGGTCAAATGTCCGGGTGGTCGTAGGTCGGAAGTCGGGGAGGAGCTGTAATCTATATGATGAAGAAGAAGACCCCACCACTAACACCAATGGTAGGAGACTTATCTCACTTATCAGTGCATATGAAAATGATAGGTTAGGTTATGACTCAACCTAATGGAAATGTAACTGAGAAAGGAATTAGAATTAACAACTGGGCATCCATTCTACAAACAGAATTAGTTGCCATACTTTCAGCCATTAAATTTATTTAAATCACCATCACCGACAGTCTCATCATCACTGACTCTCTATCCTGCTTGCTCTTCACACCCTTAACTTAAGTTGTCACACATTTGTCTGTGAAGCCAGACACAAATGTGGACCTTGTTGATGGAGGTGTCAAGATCAAACTGTTGTTGATCCCTTCTCACACAGGCCTCAAAGAACATGACAGAGTTGATGCCCTCGCCAAACTCGCGTCTAACAAAGACACTGTTGAACACAATTTGGGTCTGTCAAAAAGAACCCTTAAAACTGTTACTAGGAAAGAACAGATTGATGAATTTGATGCAAGCAGACAAGTGCAAACAGACATTAGTCAATACAGTGTTCACCATGATGAGAAGTATCAAGTGAAACACGAATATGGAGCAGGGAACTAGATCACTAGATTACTAAATAGTGTAACTGCTAAAGTAAGATAAGGATATAAGTACCTCTGGCAGTATATCCCTCAAGCAGATGTGAAAAAACTAAATGCAGTGTGTCATCAAAGAAATGACCACAAACTGGAATACCACGTCCTTGACTGTGTGAAGACAGAACCTTTTACGGACAAGTCCAAACACACTGTGTGTGAAATGGACAACACTTTATCTCTAAATGGCAAGATAGCCGATATATTAAGACTGCATTCACTTTTTTGCACTCAGTTGGTATATCATTTCCCATCTATAGAACCAAACACACAATATGCTTGAATACTTCTCATACAAATGCAAATAACAAAGTGTGTGGCCAGGCATATTGCCTCACACTGTTGTACTCAGGCAGTTGTGAATAAGTTACCCTCGATGTACAAAAATAAAACAAACAATGTATTTGAAATACTCTGTAACATTCAATGTCATAATGTCCTGACCACTGGGGTTAGTTATCCAGACCCCTTGTGACCTAAACTCTGTAATTCTTTTGTGCTACTGCTCACAGGATAAGCATGGGGTGCACAATAAACTGGTCACTGTAAGCGGCAAAATTAATTAAATTTAAACCATCCGCTACATTTGGTTATACAGTAGTGCATACTATTGGAAAGCAAGCAGTGGTCACGTCACCCGGCCACTGTGTCAGCAATTATAGCTAACCACAAAAAGTTGGTGGATGTACTTGATACATGTGAGGAAAATGAGTGTGATGCAGCAGTGTGGCAACTGGATTACTGAAACAGATAAAATGCAGAAAAATTCATGTTTACTGCATACCGTGTGAAGGAAATTCTGCCGACACTTGGACCTGCAGATCAGTTTTTACAATCACATGACTGACTTCATGACAAGAATTCACCTTATTGAATCTCTTGTCAGTAGTGTTAAAGACATCTGGAACAACACTGGCAATGAGAATATCTCATCAAAACTTGATCATCACAACCATACAGAATACCATCAGGAAAAGCAAAAGCATAACACAAACTGCCCCAATACTTAGCAGTGACTAAAACAACTGTAAGACATTCTAATATTCATGGTTTTGATAGTGAAGCTGATTTACATCATCAACTGTACTACAAAATTTTAGATAACTGTCTTGGTGAACTAAATGCTGGGTTTGATGAGCATAATATTAGGCTACTTACAGTCATTTCTAGTCGTTGGCCAGAATCCAAGAATTGTTTATTACTTCCGGAAAATCTTGTCCCATAGGCTAAACTCATAGGTGTCGATACTGAGTCGTCTCTTCTGGTAAGTGAATGTCATGTTGCTAAGTGACTTATTGAAGAATTTCATTGACCAGTTCTCAAAAACATTGGTGAAAATTTCAAGATATCATATCCTTTCTGAAATGGACTAACTCACATACACAAGCTTTATGCAGCTGCCCTCACATTTGGTACAAGCACTGCAATATGTGAACACTCCATCTCAACTGTCACATGCTTACACAATATAGGCGTTCAATGACTCATCGTAGAAAAAGTAACCTGGTCTTGACTGTATTTTAGGCAGACCTTACACAGAAACTGAACTTGGGGGGGAAAAAGCAGGAAAATTAAATTGTATCGAGTTAATTATGACTATCACATAACGAGTACAGTACTGTGTATATAGACGTTATTAATGGAAGGACTATTTTCTCATTATTTCTCTGTTGTCAATTTTTTATAAACATTATCAGTTTTCATTATTTTCATGTTGGTTATTTGAGAAAAATTAATTTACATTCAGTTGTTCGTTGCTGTACTTCATTTTATGCAGTTCTTTCCTGTCTATGTTATATACTTAAACTATCATTACATATGTGTGTGTGT